TAGTGACCCCGGAACAAGATAGATCAAGGGAACCCATTTTTTTGAATAAAAACAATTTGAAATCATTCTTAAATTCAAGCAATCTTAACATATAATTGAAATTAAAATTTTTTATTTGGCTCAAATATTTTTACTTTTTTGTACTCTTTGAAAAAGAGGCTTGCGATTTTTTCAAGTTTTTTTTATTAAACCGTCACGTCTTGTTTTTATAGTAATGCTGTGCTGCACCAAGCTTGGTACTATCCAATTTTTCTAAATACATTTTTTGTCAAGTCGAACATTAATTATTAAATTTCTCTCTGTAACAGATAAGAAAAATTTATATTATTTATTAGTAACAACCTTTTAATTATTAAAATTTCATGTTTATTAAATATTTTAATTATTTATTTTTAAAAATTTATTGTAAAATTTTTAGCAAGTACTTGATAAATGCTTTAAATTTATGAAACAAAAATTTTAATCAATAAAGTTTTATAAAAGTTATATGATTTTGAAAATGGCACATTTGGTCGTCAAAGGGTTAAATTTATGAAACAAAAATTTAAATCGATAAAGTTTTATAAAAGTTATATTATTTTTAAAATGTCCGATTCCAAGACTTTTAATTTTTGGAAGGGACATTTGAGAAAGACTGCCCTATTTTTAACTAAGGGATATTAATATTTATGCAAATTCATTTAAAATGATGCAAGAATTAGAATTGGAAAAAGAAGTAAGAACAAATTGAAGAATGAGTGATATATGTATACGTATCCAATGGATCATACTATTCATGGATTCCATCAGGTGATCCAGGATGAACTGTAAATATGAAACATACTGATGGTGTAACATTATACTCCTTTACAATTTTGTATGTATCGCTTGTCTTACAGAGGAACATTTAATCCATGTTTTCAAATGGATAAATTAACTCATCAATTTATTGTTAATAATTGGTCAAAAGTAGAAGGTGAGCGTTTATAATAAGTCAATAGAAAAATATATTCGACCAGAAAAAATAACCATTTTACTTTCTTCATTTACTGGAGGACCACGTTTTTATCAACAAAAAAAAATGTTTTATGATTGCTATGCAATTAGTTCAAGAATTTAGAAAACCAGATTTATTTATTACAATGATATTTAATCCAAAATGAGCTGAGATTATAAAAATTTTTTGTATGCTGGAAATGCATCTGACCGGTCAGATATTGTTGCCCGGGTTTTTCAACGAATGTAAAAGAGTTAATAAGTGAATTAAAAGATAAACAAATTTTTGTTCAAGTCATTGCTTATGTATATGTAATAGAATTTCAAAAGCGTGGATTGCTTCATGTACATTTAATAATTTTTTTAGATAAGAAACTTCCCAGTGGGCAAAAAACCATAATTGTTTTAAAAACGTTTCAAAAATGTTTTTAAAACGTTTCATGGCTGTCAAATAACGTCCCAAAAACGTTATATGTTTAAAAAACGTTTTAAAAGCAATGGAACGTTTTTGGAACATTATTTGGCAGACATGAAACGTTCTAAAAACGTTTTTGGAACGTTTTTAAAACAATGATGGTTTTTTGCCCACTGGGTTGCGATTCGTGATGCAGAAACTGTGGCTAAAATAATATGTGTACAAATTCCTTATGAAATAAGTAATCCAAAACTTTTTAAAATTGTAAATCAGTTTCATGTTCATGGCCTATGTCAAAAGCAAAATATAAATTCTCCTTGTATGAATTCTCAAATAAAATTATGCATAAAAATTATCCTAAACCGTTTTATCAAAAAACAAATTATGAATTAAACAATTATCCAGAATACAGACGGAGAAATGATAGCAAAAAGAATATTTTTTATAATAGAGATGGGCAAGGCTCACCTGAAAAAAATCGTTTGGATTTTCTCATAGACTTTTCAGGTAGAAATCCATATGGAGATTTGAAACTATCCACATGAAATCCGCATGGATTGACATGTGGATTTCCGCATGGATTTTTTTATATTTTAAATAAACACAAAATATGAACGAAAACCTCTTTAAAAATGCAGAAAGTAGTGAGTGAGACCCCTTTGGGTTCTCAGAATTCGAATTTGATGTTTATTTCTGAAAATATTTAAAAATTGACAAAATAGAAAGTTTCCATGTGGATTTCCATGTGAATTATTTCAAATCTCCGCATGGATTTCTGCGTAAATTTCCTTGTGGAAAGTCCAGACGGACTTTTTCAGTTGGGGGGACATAATTGTGGAATAGTAGGTTCTAAAGATGATAATCAGATAATGAATTATGATGAAATTCAACATTACTTAAACACTAGGGTGGTCCAAAAATACTTGGGAAAAAAGTAAAATCGTAATTTTAATGCTCTCACCCCCTAGGATTGTTCTATATGAAGCAAAAAATACCCCTATTTTTTTGAAAATAAAAAAATATTTAGAGGTCGCTCAAAGAGCTCAAACTTTCCCATGTAAAATGCATAGGGAAAAAACACTTTTTCGTAGAATTTGTATAGAATTTTTGAAAATCAATATTTTTCATTCAGCAAACTCTGTTTCTCTTTAGAAGACTTTAAAGAATAGTGCTAAATTGTTTATTTTATAATTTTTTTAAATTAACTATTTTTCATAGTGCCCCAAAAAAACCCATAAATTTCCAAATTATAAAAAAATCGTTAAAAAATATTTTTACTATTTTTATCACAGTTTTTTCCTAGATTATGAATAAATAACACAAATATTGATTTTTAAACATTATTCCATGTAATTGCTAATTTGTTTAAACAAATTATTATTGTTTATTTACAACTTTTTATCTAATTAAGATAAAGATTTGAGATTTTTTCTCAATTTTGCGGGGTTGGGACAAGTCACACCCAGAAAGTCTCCCCCGGACAAGTCCTCCCAGGACAAGTCTCCACAGAGACATAACTCCCCATGGGACAAGTCTTCCCATGGACAGCTCCTCCCAGAGGACAAGTCTTCCCAGGGACATCTCTCCCCAAATGATAATATTAAAAGTAAATAATGCCATGGGTGGACAAGTCTCCCCGGGACATCTCTCCCCAGTGAAAAATTGTTTATTAAAACAGTGACAAATTCAGGACAAGTCTCCCCGGGACATCTCTCCCCAGTAAAAATTGTTTATTATAACATTGGCATGTTCAGGACAAGTCTCCCCAGGACAAGTCTCCCCGGGACATCTCTTCCCAGTAAAAATTGTTTATTAAAACGTTGGCACACTCAGGACAAGTCTCCCCAGGACAAGTCTCCCCGGGACATCTCTCCCCAGTAAAAATTGTTTATTAAAACGTTGGCACATTCAGGACAAGTCTCCCCAGGACAAGTCTCCCCGGGACATCTCTCCCCAGTAAAAATTGTTTATTAAAACGTTGGCACATTCAGGACAAGTCTCCCCGGGACATCTCTCCCCAGTAAAAATTGTTTATTAAAACGTTGGCACATTCAGGACAAGTCTCCCCAGGACAAGTCTCCTCGGGACATCTCTCCCCAGTAAAAATTGTTCATTAGAACGTTGGCACATTCAGGACAAGTCTCCCCAGGACAAGTCTCCCCGGGACATCTCTCCCCAGTAAAAATTGTTTATTAAAACGTTGGCATATTCAGGACAAGTCTCCCCAGGACAAGTCTCCCCGGGACATCTCTCCCCAGTAAAAATTGTTTATTAAAACGTTGGCACATTTAGGACAAGTCTCCCCGGGTTATCTCTCCCCAGTAAAAATTGTTTATTAAAACGGTGGCACATTCAGGACAAGTCTCCCCGGGACATCTCTCCCCAGTAAAAATTGTTTATTAAAACGTTGGCACATTCGGGACAAGTCTCCCCGGGACATCTCTCCCCAGTAAAAATTGTTTATTAAAACGGTGGCACATTCAGGACAAGTCTCCCCGGGACATCTCTCCCCAGTAAAAATTGTTTATTAAAACGTTGGCACATTCAGGACAAGTCTCCCCAGGACAAGTCTCCCCGGGACATCTCTCCCCAGTAAAAATTGTTTATTAAAACGTTGGCACATTCAGGACAAGGCTCCCCGGGACATCTCGTCCCAGTAAAAATTGTTTATTAAAACGGTGGCACATTCAGGACAAGTCTCCCAAGGACAAGTCTCCCCGGGACATCTCTCCCCAGTAAAAATTGTTTATTATAACATTGGCATGTTCAGGACAAGTCTCCCCAGGACAAGTCTCCCCGGGACATCTCTCCCCAGTAAAAATTGTTTATTAAAACGTTGGCACATTCAGGACAAGTCTCCCCGGGACATCTCTCCCCAGTAAAAATTGTTTATTAAAACGTTGGCACATTCAGGACAAGTCTCCCCGGGACATCTCTCCGCAGTAAAAATTGTTTATTAAAACGGTGGCACATTCAGGACAAGTCTCCCCGGGACATCTCTCCCCAGTAAAAATTGTTTATTATAACGGTGGCATGTTCAGGACAAGTCTTCCCAGGACATCTCTCCCCAGTAAAAAATTATTTATTAAAACGGTGGCAAAAAATTCAATTTTATATAATAGTTGAAACTCTCCATTTTTTTTTTTAAAAAAGTAAGGTAGAATATTTTCAAAAATTTTAATAATGAAAGTCTTAAAATTAATTTTTTATATATTTCTAAATAATTGTTGAAAGACAACATTTTTACATTTATATAGAATTAAAATATTTCCAAAAAATTGAAATTTGGTAAAATGTTTAAAAAATAATTAAAATTTGATAAAGTCTTTTCAAAATAATTGAGTTTTTAAAAAATATAAAAAAGTATTCAAATTTTTAAAGAATTTTAATTATAAATGATTTCTCCTAAATTTTAATAACTTTTAAAATGTAAATTTTATTAATGTAATGAGATAGGTTGATAAATGAACAACTTGTTTTACATTTATATAGGTTTATATATATTTTTTTCAATACTAATTTTTATTATAAATTTATTTAAAATAAAAGAAATTTATTTTTAAAATAAATTTCAAAAAGTTACAGTTTACAGAGTTAAAGTTTACAGTTTTTAGTTCACTGACCCACATTCTTCTAAAAACACTTTCAATGATATTCTGAAATGAATATGAAATATTTATATTATGTTTGATGTTTTGCACAATGTTTGAAATTTTTATATAGTTTACCATGTAGACGTATTGCCGAAAAACTATTGAACATGACTTCCAGAAAATTTTTTAAGAAGTTTTTTGATAATGATTTTGAAATATGCTGGATAAAATATGTATATAAGAAATATTAAGTTCAAAGTACATAATTCCTGATTCTTTTTAATTTTGGAACTCAATATCCCTGCTGCAGAAAAGCAAAAGAATTTATTATTTTCGCAATATTTAACTTCTACTAAAATCTATTTCATAACAAATATATTTAAATATTTTACTGTATTTGCAGATTAAAATCTTTAAATCGGTCCAAAATTACTGATTTTTGTAGATTTTGGTTCCATGTAATTATTGTGAAACTGACATACTTTTTAATTTTTTTTTCTCCAACAGAGATATTGAGTTGTATTTAATGTTCAACTTTTTTCTATATTTTATTTTAAATGTTAATCGATCTGTTTAAGTTTAAATCTACTACTATTACTACTACTAAATATTGACTTTTGTCTATTATTTTCATTTTTTCATTATCCTAATCATTAAAAAATAATTAACTGATTCAACAAACTCATTTTATTTAAGAAGTTACCTTAAATCAGGTATACCTTCTAAATCAACATAGAAATAGTAACATCCAAAATATTTTAAAAGTATTTTCGACAATCTTTCTACATAGGTACATGCACATTTATCCCAGATAGCACGTTACCTTATGGTAAGCTTACTGTAACCTTGACGTGTAATGCTACTAATATTGCAACGCAAGGTTACAGTAAGTTTACCATAAGGTTACGTGCTATTTGGGAATACTATAAGTATCAACGGTGTTATGAAAAACATGTGTTCCGAAAAGTATGTAATTATATATACTAACTCCTGATTTAGAAAGCGTTTTTGAGCATCAGAAATTTTTTTGTCCCGCTTTCTGTCTTTTTCTTTGACTGGGTGAGACGTTGATTTTCCATTTTTTAAATGTAGGTAATCCTGATAGTGACATGTGATAAGATTGACTAAACATTCTTTAAACAAAAAACAGGTAAGTAATTTTTATAAAGTTTTAATCTGTCAGGTTCGAATTCTTATTTTGTATTTACCAAAAAATGTCCAAACGTTTGGATGAATTCCCCCAAGCCTTTTAGTAAGTTGAGAGTGAAAAGCTTCTACAAGGTTATTGGTCCTAGATGGACAACCAAAAACACAAACTTCGTATTTTTTTGGAAGCCACTGACGATCATAATACCTAAAGAAATTCTTTAATTGTGGATATTTGTTTTCGTATTCGCTTGCAATTTCTTTAATGAAATTTAAACCAGACATAAAACAATGAGCTGGAGCTAAAGGCAAGGTCATCAGTAATCTCAATATTTTATATGGTGCTTTGTGCATTCCAAGCTCTTTCCATTTGACACGCAAAGCCTGCAATATTAAAAATACTTTATGTTAAATTGATGTTCTACAAAGCTGGTTAAAAATTTTATACTTAGAAGCAGTAATTCAGTTTTTAAAATAATGTTAGCGTCTAGACAAGAAGAAATATAAGAAAGCTTACTTTACAATAATGGAACCAACAGCAATGATGATCTGCTTTAACAAAAATTTCTTTAAGAATTTTCAGGATAGCTGACTCATAATCTGACATACGAAAAGTTACATTTTCTACCATATTAGGAGCTAATTTTTTTAACTCTAAAAAAAATTGCTCTGTACATTTTAATAGTTCGACATGTGGTTAAAATGAACACCAATGGAACACCCTGAAAAATAAAAGCTGCTTTTTTAACATGTCTTCAAAAATTTATAAGATCATTTAAGCGACTAATAATAAAAATAATATAGTTATTGTGTAACTAAATCCGTAAAAGGTAGGCAATAGCAGTATTCGTCATATTTTTTATATATATTTAATAATAATATTTCATTTAAAGTCGTATTACAAATATAGTTTTAAACAAAATTAAAGTTTAATTAAATTACCGTGTATACATAATCCTTGTATGAATAGAGTACATTTGATGAAACTTCGGATTACGCGGAATTACCTGAAATATGTGGAAAATATTAAATGTAATGATTTTTAAATATAAGTCTAAAAATCTTAATATGTGACAGGGAAAGTTAAAAGGGACCTACGGTTCGAAAAAATCAATTTTTTATTTAGTGATTCTGATAGAGACAATTTTTTTCTATCAGAATCACAAAATAATAACAGGGTTGCCACGCTTTTACTGATTTCAAATTCCCTGACTTTTCCAGGTTTTCCAGGTTAAAAACTGAATTTTTCCAGGTTTTTAAAACTACATTTATATTTTACAAAATTTTTAACTCAAACCTTTTTGAAATTAAACATTTTATTAAAAATTATTATAAAACATGAAAATATCGATCACTCCGAGTCTTCGATATCTTCATGTTTTATAATAATTAAAAATGTTGGACTGATAAAATCATCATTTTATACCTATTATAAGAATATTGTTACTGTAACTTATTCAAAATTACTTTCATTATTTTAATTCAATTATTGTTTTCCACCATTTTTAACTAAAATTCTCCTTTATAAAGTGTAAATTAATTATTATTAATAATTTCTGAAAAATTTCTTTCAACATTTTCAAATCCTTTTGTTTACAATTCAATTTTACGAAATTTCATCGATTATTCAGGTACTCGGAAATTCTTCAATTAAATATATATTAGAAAATAAAAACCTAAAATAACTTCAAAAAAATTCAATTCAACTTTTACAAAAAAATTAAATCTACACAATTTTAAGTTAAAAGTATGAAAAATTCAAACATTCAAAGATTATAATTTGATACCTGCTTTTTAAAACTCAATTATTATCTAAAGTTTTAACTGAAATTCATATTTGAATCAATTATTATTAGAAAATTCTACGACAATTCAATTATTTAAATACAAAAAAAATAATTTATTGAAGAATTCAATGTTTTTTAAAATTCAACTCTCATTTTTTCGTCTAAAGCATTGAAGAACATTCATGTTTAAGTAAATTTAATAACACATTTCTCTCACGATAAAAAAGAATTATATACATGTAACTAATATGGGTCATTCTACGCGAAACGGACAACCTGAAATGTCTAATGGATTCTACTTATGTTTTAAAATGCTGCTATTTCCATTACAATACATTACAATACCTTCGACCATTTAAAATTAAAAACAATTAAATTTACTATAAACAAATGTAATATTTTTCTTATATTATGCACTTTAATGGAAATAGCAGAATTTTAAAAATAAAGATTTTTGAATTAGAAGTTTTTGGTTGTTTACGCTTCACGTAGAGTACCGACAGAAATTATCAGTACAGTTCCACTCGCATAGCCCAAAAGAATTTTTTAAAATTATGCCAAAATTTAAAAAATTGTCAAAAAAATTTTAATTTTTTTAATTTGCCGATTAGCCTTTGAATCATACATTTTTTAATTTTCTAAGATTTGCTTTTACAAAAAATCGTGATATAAATATTGTTATGTTTTAGGCTATGCGCGGGAAATCGTACACATAATTTACGACGGTAGTATATTACTAAAGATTTATTGTTACTCAAAATTTACAGATACTAAACAACGGAACTGCGACTCCTGCTCGAAGAAACTTCTAATAAATATATTAATGCCATGTGGACATGCCGTCTGCTCAAAATGCACGAAATTAAAATGTTTAATATGCAAAGAGGAGGTAAAGCGCATGATAGATTATGGTAAACATTTATAAAAAAATTGAAACAAACTCTTTTTAAAAAATACATTATGTACCATAAAATTTCTTATATCATCAGAAAAAGAATTTTACTTACTGTTAAAATTGCAAACACAATGTAAATTAACAACGCAAAAAGTTGTAGAAGAAGTGTCTATATCCATATTTCACTCAGATATAAATTAGTCACACTATAACCAAATTAAACCAATTCAATGCATTTATAAAACTACAATGTAAGCTTTTCGTTAGTTACTAAAATAATAAACACGTTTTTACAATTTTAGATTTAATTTTAATTAATAATTAAATAATTAAAATAAACTAATTTAAATAGTTTTAAGGAAAGAAATGATTACTTTTTATATAGATTGTTTATTGTCAATACTCTCCATACGCATATTTTAAAAAAAAAAGTTAAATTCATTAAACATTATTGCAAACAATGCTAATATTAAAAACAAGTGTACTTAAATCAATTAATTGTATGTCAAAAATAAAATGTATTAGATATAAATTTTATATTAATAAATTGAAACATTTGCCAATTCTCAAATATAAAAACTCAACGTCTTTTTCAAATTATTTTCTACTTGTAAGACACGTCCTGTGGAGGCTTATTATATAATAATTTTTACTGGGAAGAGATGTCCTGGGGAGACTTGTCCTGAATATGCCACCGTTTTAATAAACAATTTTTACTGGGGAGAGATGTCCTGGGGAGACTTGTCCTGAATGTGCCACCGTTTTAATAAATTATTTTTACTGAAGAGAGATGTCCCGGGGAGACTTGTCCTGAATGTGCCACCGTTTTAATAAATTATTTTTACTGGGAAGAGATGTCCCGGGGAGACTTGTCCTGGGGAGACTTGTCCTGAATGTGCCACCGTTTTAATAAATTATTTTTACTGATGAGAGATGTCCCGGGGAGACTTGTCCTGGGGAGACTTGTCCTGAATGTGCCACCGTTTTAATAAATTATTTTTACTGGGAAGAGATGTCCCGGGGAGACTTGTCCTGGGAAGACTTGTCCTGAATGTGCCACCGTTTTAATAAACAATTTATACTGGGGAGATATGTCCCGGGGAGACTTGTCCTGAATGTGCCACCATTTTAATAAACAATTTTTACTGGGGAGAGATGTCCCGGGGAGACTTGTCCTGAATGTGCCACCGTTTTAATAAACAATTTTTACTAGGGAGAGATGTCCCGGGGAGACTTGTCCTAAATGTGCCACCGTTTTAATAAACAATTTTTACTGGGGAGAGATGTCCCGGGGAGACTTGTCTTGAATTTGCCACCGTTTTAATAAATTATTTTTACTAGGGAGACTTGTCCTGAATGTGCCAACGTTTTAATAAACAATTTTGACTGGGGAGAGATGTCCCGGGGAGACTTGTCCTGGGGAGACTTGTCCTGAATGTGCCAAAGTTTTAATAAACAATTTTTACTGGGGAGAGATGTCCCGGGGAGACTTGTCCTGAATGTGCCACCGTTATAATAAACAATTTTTACTGGGGAGAGATGTCCCGGGGAGACTTGTCCTGAATGTGCCACCGTTTTAATAAACAATTTTTACTGGGGAGAGATGTCCCGGGGAGACTTGTCCTGGGGAGACTTGTCCTGAATGTGCCACCGTTTTAATAAATTATTTTTACTGGGAAGAGATGTCCCGGGGAGACTTGTCCTGAATGTGCCACCGTTTTAATAAACAATTTATACTGGGGAGATATGTCCCGGGGAGACTTGTCCTGAATGTGCCACCATTTTAATAAACAATTTTTACTGGGGAGAGATGTCCCGGGGAGACTTGTCTTCAATTTGCCACCGTTTTAATAAATTATTTTTACTAGGGAGACTTGTCCTGAATGTGCCAACGTTTTAATAAACAATTTTTACTGGGGAGAGATGTCCCGGGGAGACTTGTCCTGAATGTGCCACCGTTATAATAAACAATTTTTACTAGGGAGAGATGTCCCGGGGAGACTTGTCCTGAATGTGCCACCGTTTTAATAAACAATTTTTACTGGGGAGAGATGTCCCGGGGAGACTTGTCCTGAATGTGCCACCGTTTTAATAAACAATTTTTACTGCGGAGAGATGTCCCGGGGAGACTTGTCCTGAATTTGCCACCGTTTTAAGAAATTATTTTTACTAGGAAGAGATGTCCCGGGGAGACTTGTTCTGGGGAGACTTGTCCTGAATGTGCCAACGTTCTAATGAACAATTTTTACTGGGGAGAGATGTCCCGGGGAGACTTGTCCTGGGGAGACTTGTCCTGAATGTGCCAACATTTTAATAAACAATTTTTACTGGGGAGAGATGTCCCGGGGAGACTTGTCCTGAATGTGCCAACGTTTTAATGAACAATTTTTACTGGGGAGAGATGTCCCGGGGAGACTTGTCCTGAATGTGCCACCGTTTTAATAAACAATTTTTACTAGGGAGAGATGTCCCGGGGAGACTTGTCCTAAATGTGCCACCGTTTTAATAAACAATTTTTACTGGGGAGAGATGTCCCGGGGAGACTTGTCTTGAATTTGCCACCGTTTTAATAAATTATTTTTACTGGGGAGAGATGTCCCGGGGAGACTTGTCCTGAATGTGCCAACGTTTTAATAAACAATTTTTACTGGGGAGAGATGTCCCGGGGAGACTTGTCCTGAATGTGCCACCGTTTTAATAAACAATTTTTACTGGGGAGAGATGTCCCGAAGAGACTTGTCCTGAATGTGCCAACGTTTTAATAAACAATTTTTACTGGGGAGTGATGTCCCGGGGAGACTTGTCCTGAACATGCCAATGTTATAATAAACAATTTTTACTGGGGAGAGATGTCCCGGGGAGACTTGTCCTGAATTTGTCACTGTTTTAATAAACAATTTTTCACTGGGGAGAGCTGTCCCGGGAAGACCTGTCCAGCCATGGCATTATTTACTTTTAAT